TGTTGTGTCATTTCAAGATGTGCTTTTAAGACCTTTGGGCGTGCAAAATACAAGGGAACTTTACATTGTGAGATGTATAAGTGGTGCATGCTAGAAACTGATTATCTTTTTCACAGGCTTTACATTAGATCACTTTGACATTCTATGTATCTGAATGGATCAAAGCATCTCTCTAAGGACTCTTTTCTGTGAAGCACCTGGTCACACAGATTCTTATATGTTCTTTGACCATCTAACAGCTTTGCTAACTGTTTCATCCATCATATTACAGACATATCCTTTAGAAATATTTAACTGTGCTCATCTGGTGAATTCTGGAATATGGTGCACAGTGTTCTTCATAGCCTTTAAAGATAATGTTCAGGAATTTTTGAACAGCATATTGCAGGCCCAGATTTACAATTCTAGAGTATGTAGGCACACAGCCATTATTGTTCTAAACATCACCTTAATTACCAATTAGCCCCAAAATGTATATATAATGTTCTATAGTTTTACTAGTCTTGTCACAGAACCATGTATAATAACAGTGTAGATACTGCAGTTTGAGTAATAGACTTAGTAGGTCTTCACAAAGACCTACTAAGTCTATTACAAAATCCAGCCAAGGTGATGGACCACAACTGTGCTGTTACTATTTTATCTTCATAGAAGAAATAGTGGGGCTAAAATTGAATGAGGTAAAGATGTTCTTCAAGTCAAACAAAACATTCTAATCTGTTTCTGAACTTTTTGCATATTAGTGATGTTATAAATATATACTGTATACATAGTGCCTCCTCTTATAAGCCACCAGTAAGAAATAGGATGGATCTTGCTTTGTTATTGTTTACTTTGATTGGTGCACTAAGCTACACTCAGGGCTTGTTCACACCAACTGCAGTGCGTTCCATAGCAGTAGCTGCTGGAACACACCACAATCGCTCACAAAACTTCCCCCTGTGTTGTTGAAGTCAGTGCGATCGGTTCCACTGCAAACACAAAAAATAGAGCATGCAGTTCCACTGCAAACACAAAAAATAGAGCATGCATTGATTTCAATGCACTGCCATGCCCCCTCCCGCCCCAGAACGCAGGGGGAAGTTTTGTGAGAGATTGCGATGCGTTCCAGCAGCTACTGCTCTGGAACACACTGCAATTGGTGTGAACAAGCCCTTAGTATTACTGTATATTCAGCACATGAAACGATACAAGTAAAACCTGCTGGTCTTCCAGAAATTAAGCTTGCTCCTGATTTCTTCTTTGAGATGACAGCAGAGTGTTGTCAGCCCTGGCTATATCTCCCTTGCTGAAATACAGTACACCACCCTTATGCTATGGAGATGAGGAAAGTGTGGGTTGTTCTGTAGTCAAGCAGAGAAGAATGGGGCAGGGCTGGTGGCACTGTTCAGAATTCCTGTGCAGTTGAGGCAGTGATGTCAGCTCACTACAAGAAGTTAGGGGTTCATTGGACTTCTGGCAGATTACCTGGTATATTTCTGTACTTTTAAAGCGCTAAAACATAGGGAAATGTGCATGCACTGCAGAGATATGTATGTAATATGTTTTTTTTCACCCAGACATACACTTTAATACTAAAGGGTCAGAGACAACTGACATTTTTTATTTTAGTTGAAGGAGAAATCTTTTTAAAGAGACCTATTTTGCTGCATTTAAATGGTATATTACCTATAGAAATAAAGTAGATACACTTTACGCTAAATTTAGCCAAGACCCTGAACTCTTAGATTTCTGCCACATGATTATGTCACCAATTTAAACTATTAAACACAGACCATACAGAGCTCTCTGTTATATAGAGAAGGGCTGAACAAAGACAACATTGCAATCTCTGAAACTGCACTGTAGACATACATGAGTCTTAAATAGACGTATTGTTAGGCAGACAGTATTCACTTTAGCATAAATTGGTCTGCTCATCTGCCTCTTTATGATGTCCCCTCACAGTGCTCTGTAAACCAGTCTTAACACTGGTAGGATTAAATAAAACACAAAGACTGTTCTTTATGATCTGTCACAGCCTTAATCACATAATTTTACATCTGTAATCACTGAAATGACAAGAGATATCACACTGTCCATGTTCCAGTATAATTTTTCATCCTAGCTCAGTTTGGCACTTGCTGAATATTTGTGTGTGATAAACACCCCAAACAGAATCTTGGGGAATGGCATAGAACCTATTTAGCACTCTACCGAATCATGACTGCAAGAAACGGATAAAACCATTTTATAAGCAATGGAATCAGATGTTATATTTTTATATGTATTACTGTAGTTTTCTTAAGTGTGGCTTTCAGTTAATTCAGACAAATTTATGATATCATTTAATCTATTTTGGTCCCAGCCATGCAAAACAGACTGTTGGCAAACTGCCAGTAAACCAAATCTCTTTGTAAATGACCCATATAGTGTATCCCAGAATGCCTACTACAGTAAACTTCCCATTATCTGGTATTCAAGCAACCCGCACTCTCAAGCAACCAGCAAAAAAAAATCGATAATAATATATCCTCGATTTGTTTTTTGTCAGTGGCTTGGTGCACATTGTCCGTTCCTTGGTGCACACTAAAGAAATTTGTTAGCAACTAAATGTATTTACTTGCTAACAAAATTCTCTGTTTACATCTTGCTGGCAGCCAGCAGTTGTATTCCGCAGTCGGCAGCAGAATGTAAACAATGGGGAGCAATAGTCAGCCTGCTATTGAGAACTTTCTCTTTCGGGTCTGCTCCTCTGCTCAGTGGGTGGGGTCTCAATAACCAGCCTGCTATTGGCTATTATAATCCAAAATAGCCAGTAGCAGGCTGGCTATTGCTTTCCATTATTTACAGTCTGCTGCCAACTATGGAAGCTAGCCGGGAGGTGAATGGGGTCGTGGAGCGGGGTGCCGCGGATGGGGGTCTGATAACTGGGAGTTTGCTGTTTATTGATTTGTTTCTGTCATCCAATTAGTTGGGATAATGCTTTTGTACTGTGTCCCTTATAACACTTCTTTCTTTACTTGACTCTGTTCAGATTATTGCTACACAACCGTTCAAGAAAATTTGGTATCTGCATGGTGATGGAACACTGGATGAACAATAGGTTTCACACACAGATGCCGATGCATTAAACAACACAGCAGGCAAATGATCGTGCTTGACCTTATTGCATTGCATTTATGTGGCGCTCTGAAACTCTGAAATGCACATATGTGTGTTGTTTTGCCTGCCAAAATTATTTCTATTCTGTACAATCACTCTAACAATTCACGTTTTCCAGCCTGGCTGCATAGCCAAGAAAATGACATGACTACTGGATACTGACTAATCATTGCACTATGAAAGAGAATAGTGCCTCGGTTCTACCTCTATTTTGTCCTTACTGTGAGATGTCAAAAATGTTCTGCTCCAGCTCCCAGTGCATGAAATCATGTTCCATTTGTGGTACTATGCAATACACTAGAGATGTGGCTAACAGTGCATTACCTTCCACTGTTTTTCTGACTTCTGTTGTGTAGTGGATTGTTGAAAGATCATCGACAATAAGATTTGAGGAACTATAGTAATAGTTTTTAAAAACATAATTTTTTTTTAAATGATGCAAAACTGGAGTATAAAGACACCAGTCAGTGCAAAAAGTTAGTAACCTGACCCAGAACTAATTGGAAACCACCAATAGTGCCCAAACATTTGATAAAACGTCTTCTTAAGTTGCCCAAAACCCTGGGTGCTCTCATATGCATATTTTAAACCCTCCTGGAAGATGAGTGGTGTTACTGGTCAGTTAGAAGATTTACAAGCCAGAAGGTAGCTGATCAGCACTCAACACTACCAGGTAATATACAAATTTACAAAACAGAGCAGCCTAGCATGCAGGGAACCTGGGTTCTCAGGATCGCTAAAAGGTATGCATGGGCACCATTAGGTAACTTCAAGGGTCAGTTTACTAATTCTACATATCCTAATCGTTCCCCCTTATATAACTATAGTATCAAGTACTTAAGTGTTCAATCAAGTATTTTTTTAACTTTTTTCATTATTGATTTTACTGTTGTCCCAGTAAAAAACTAGACCTTCTGATCTGAAGTCCTCTGCTTTAAGCCATTAAGCCCCCATTATAAAGTATAAAGGGGTTATTTACTAAGGAAAATTGATTCAATTAAGCCCAGTGTAATCTGTTGATCATTTTTTTTTTGTTTAACACAATATTGTGGGCCAAGCAGTCTAGAATTAAATTACGCTGATATAAGAACCAGGAAATGTGTTAGGGAGCGTAGAAACTGTTATTAGCCCTCATATCATGATCTATGAAATCAAACACAGCCAATTATTACTCATTGAAATATTGTCTTGAAGAATATAGGAAAACACATCAGAGATACAAACATGTAATGAGTGTAAATACTGAATATTTCTACCTGAAACTTGTGAGTGAAAGCCTAAGGCAGCGAGTTAAAAAAGGTAGAATCGACGTAAAAAATGTGCTTGATTTTTTTTTTTTTTTGAATAGTCACTTTTTTTACTTATGGGTAAAGTTAGCAGCAAACCTGAAGCACTTCAAGAGCTTATTGGAGCTACAAAACACTGTAGTTCAAACAGCAGGCAGCAACATTTTTTTGCATTGGTACCCTGTAGGGTGGATAGGGGTATGGTATTTCCACATATAAAATATACAATATGCTACCTATCAACAAGAGCACATTTCAAATCAATAATTCCAATGATGTATTGTGATTGGTGAGTGGATGAAGTGGAGCCTGTATACCAGAGCAGCATCCTTTATGTGTATCTAAAGTAGCAGATACATCTCTGCTCATTAACAGAATTACTCTCGTTTATGTACATTCAATCATAATCACCTCTAAATTTCACATAAAGCTGTATATGTTGCATGTGGTTTTCTATTAAATCAGCATGATTTTAATATCTGGTGGGCCTTTAATTAGAACAAGTAATATTTTTCCAAGCAATTAGCGAAAGTTAAGCAGGTTTGAAATTATCAGAAATCTTTGATTTACCTGCACTGGTGCCTGCACCGCTTGTGAGGTCCCCACCCATCAGACCACCTATGAATTAAAGAAAAAACGAGCAGAGTCAGCATTGCTACCATTGACCACAGACACCACATCTTAACTCACTTCCATAAACCGTTTAGGTCCATTAGAAGAATTTAGACTATGAACATATTTTTTTTCTGTTTCATGATGGCAATAAAAATAACCTTGAGGTCTAGCAAATGCCATGTGCAAACCTTTTATGAACATTTTCTCAACCAAATACTTTGGGTGGGACCGATTAGGATTTAAAGGCACGCTCCAGTCAAAAATGAAATGTCAAATTATTTCAGGTGGCTCAAACTCTGCCTGCATTTTTCACCCAGCTGTAGTTTCTGAAATCTTTATTTTATAAAGCTATTCCGAATATAAGAGGAGATGTGAGAATATATGTGAGAATGATGCCTCAGTGTACTCACTGGTTCAAGCACTGCCTTCTTTATGAATATACTGCAGCTCTGCCCACATACACTGGGACTAGAACTTTAATCCAATCAATGCATTTAAACTGGATCACCGTGGCAGTTATTTTATTTTATTTTTTAAGGTATCTGTTGGGAGATATTAACACCGAATATAAAGCAACTGAAAGGTCAAGAAACCAAGAGCAAAAAAACAGTTGGACCAGGTTAAGTACATTGGCAGCTGGATTGGCTGATATCTGCTATATCCTTGGTTCATTAATGATCCCAGGCTTGTGTTCACTCATCTTCTCTAATTAGTACATGTCAGAGAGGTTACACTGCACAGAATTGTATTATAGACTGCAAAAAATTGAATGTGCTGAATTGTATGAAACTTCAAGTATGGAAAATAAATGATTTTCTGATTTTGGCAAACTTCTAGTTAATAGCTTGATTTTACTTGGAATCCTCTGGACATTCATTGTTTGGAATCCAAAAGAGAAATTATTCTCATTAAATAAATGATTAGGTGTATATATAATACTTTCTACAACTAAGAATGCTATAATAAGAACTGCTATAGTTACATATCTGATATTTTAACAAATATGGCTTTATAAAGGTGTCCACAGATATGGAAGTGCGGTCAGAAGTTCAGGCACAGTCCAACCACTCTCAGAATAAATGTTCTACAAAGCATGCCAACTGCATAAACATTTAAGTTCTGGCAGGCATACACATTTATGGGAAGGGGCAGTTAGATGCTTTTGTTGATGTTTATCACAGGGAGGTTTTCTACTCTGTTCAGTAGGTCTGTGAAGGTTCTCTGTTCAGTAGATTGGTCTTCAAATGCCAACAGGTATCTGGTGCTACCATACGTGTGAGATTATTACCTGTTCAGGAAACTGAACTTATCTAATGTGTATGCATGGTTTAAAGTAGGGGGAGGTTTATGTGACAAAGCAAAAACTGCATTTACATGTATTTATGTAAAAGTTTCAAGAACTTGTCTTAAAGCTACTTGGTTGCTAAAATAAATATCTCAAATAAAGGTCTACTGCAAAGAAGCTTGTAAATACTTACCTTTCCCACTGCCTACACCACTGATCTCTGCTGTAGCTAAGAGAAACTGCCATATAAAAAAATCTTCAGATTCAGACACTTCCAGGAGTGTCAGATTCTTGGTTCCCTGCTTTCCTCAGTGGTTCAGTCTGCCAGTCCCTACTTCACACCTGAATCTTGCAGTGACATAGGGGACATTGAGCAAAGCTGAGAATCCGGGAATGCAACACTCCCGTAAGAGTTGTATTTTGAAAATTCTTCAGCTGGGGGTTTCTTTTCACTAAAGCAGAGATCAGTGATACGGGCAGTGGAAAAGGTGAATATTTACTAAGTTATTTGCATTGAGCCCTTTTTTCAGCAAAGGGTCACTGATGGATGGTTACTGTGATAACATTTTCCTACATGTAGGTTCATGAGCTTTCTTTTTGCCTAAATTGGCTGCTCACATAGAGCAGATAAAACAATAGGATGTAGTTACATTTATATTCACCCCTTTCCAGACATATCAACACAAGCCAAACATTTCAGTTTCTGCACTGATATGAAAGCTTTACGTTTATGTTCAACAAGATAACTTGTATTTTAGGATTACCAATTCCTTAGAAGACATTTATTAGCCCCTGCCCTCCACGCCCCATAGTGCACAAGGCATTGCTGTCTGTGGCTGAAGAGTTCCCATGTGGAAAACACTGAAACACAAACAGGCTTTCCTTACCTGTGTTACCTGCACTGGGTGGCCGATGTGTCAAGCCTGGAGACATGCTGTTCCTATGCAAGGACTGATGGGACAATTGCAGTAGGTTATGATTACCCAGTGAACCAGCTGGATTGCTGTATGCCAGACTGTTAGGATTGGTCACCGGAATGGAAACCGGCATCTCATAATTGGGAGGTGGAACGGCCTGTGCATGGAAAAGAAACAGTAAATAATAACGTACTGATCTATATTAATCACTATTAATTTTAATAAAATAAGATGACTAGCATGGATCTCTCATTATTTTATATTTTGTGTAGCACATATAATCTTCTACTTGCCCATTACATGTTTTGTGACAAGCTACAACATTTTTACTTTTGGTTTTACCTAACTATTATTAGCAATAGAAACCTCAGAATAAACAGACTGCATGTAAGCTGATCATACAGTACTCTCTGAGGCTCATTTTCTGCATAACCTGCTGATCCTGCTGCTGCCTCCTCTTTCATTCCCCCATGAATTTGTTACCAACTGTGTAAACTGTGAAATAATTTGACAATGCTGAACTGATATATTTAAAATGAGTAACCTGACAGTGTTTTTAAACTTTGCCCATGCAATCTCTGCTAAACATTCTTCCTCTACTCCAGTGATACTTCACTGGGAGTCCACCTTGTGCCTCTGCTGTTTAGTTGGGTGCAATTATGGTTTTGTAGACAGGAGCGATAACGCACAGAAGTGTTTATAAAGGTCTTGGGAAATAGTATTATGACCTGAACCTTAATTGAAATAAACACAATAAACACACATGGCTGTTTCTTATCATCTAGGTTGGCAGTCCACCAGCACCACCTCTAGTGTTTAACTTTGTTGTAACAGTGTGATGCTACCTGCTCATAAAGTGCACTCTTGTTTTGTGCAATAAAAGAGCGTGATACAAATCCCATTTAAAGCAGTACTTGTGGTCAGTAGATAATACATTCACTGTGGGTATATATTTTCACTGCCAGGATTTATATCTACTTTACATGTTATATAGGATAAACTGTATGTAAGTTATGTTGTACATATGTCATGTATGATTATAAATTGTATGTGTTGTAAATGTTTAAAAATATTTATTTCACTCATTGTCTGCATCAAAAAGTCCAGTTATAATGTAAAATGAGTGATCAAGTCACCAGTCAAATTCCAACTGGTCATTATATAATTGGCTAACCATTATAAACATTATAATACTTCTACATCCAAAATGTTTTTTTCCATTTTGGATGAAGTAGGGACCGGTTAAAGCCCCTGTGGGTTTTTGTTTGTGCCATTTGTGTCCCACTTAAGAGATTTACCTTAACTGCCTATCATTTAGTCACAGCGGGAAGAGAGATTAAAGTTTTCCAAAGTGGGAAAAATGCCCTCTTACACAGCTATTACGGTACAAAAAAAGTGTTCCATCTATTTCTGTTCTGGTGACAACACAGATTTTTGGATTTTTTTCTGACAGTGGTCACCGGGACATATATAGAGATGGAATCTCCGTAGTGTGGACATAAAAAGCAAAAAAAGCCTAACAAAGGTTCTACCTCCACTACTTTTTACAAAACATAAACAAAAAGTTTTGGCTTTAGATGCATTTTAACTGCCATAAATATGCTTCTACCTTGAGATTGGATTCTTTTTGTTACACAAAATTAAATGAACACATTTTACAATCTTCGAACTGCCTGATGTATATTTTGCTTACCAATCGGCAAGTGTAATCATATGTATATCTGTCCCTTATTAATCTTTAAAATATCTTCTGTAATATAATAATAAATATTATTATTGTGTGCCCTGTTTTCTAAAGTCACTGCATTTTCTACCTGCTGCCCTAATTGTGTCATTCTGTCTGGTAAATTCCCAACATATAACTCTTCCTACTTTTATTCCCATTTACTGTATATCCATCTCTGCTGTACAGGCTTTTTTCCCCATCCAGATCTTTCATTAAAATAATAACGTATTTCTGCTTTTAAGGGTGACTCTGCTGCCCTACAGGGTCTCCCTGGAGCTACCCTGACATTCATGCTCCTGGGACTACAGTTGAATGTGATGGGTTACTGCTTCGTAAACTGTAACACCCTAGCAGTCTCCCAACGTAGTACTGTACATTGTACCAGAAAAGCCAATGCCTTGAAAGAAAACACTCCTTAACTGGAAGTTAAAGAAAGTGCCACAAATAATTGTGTGAGGATGAAGGGAATAATGATTTGAAAAGTGAGGGTTTAATACTACTTTCATCTCACTTCACCTTTCTCCCCCCCCCCCCTTTCTAACACTATCCTCTTTCACACACATTTGGCCCTAGTTGCACTTTGTTTTGGCCATGGCAGAGTACAACCGGGTGACTAGTTCAAACAGCATCCATAAATGTATTATGTTTTATAAATAGATGTGGCTGAACCTTTCTATAAATATCCACTTGGTGCTTGTATATCACTTCCCCCATTTCCGTTAGGCTTTAAGAACTTCGGGGCAGGGCTCTCCCACCTTTTGTTCCATTGTTTCTTACATTATGTTACTCATCAATGAATGTTTATATTGTGATTTCTCCAAACTGTAAAGTGCTGCAGAATATTCTTTGCACTATGTAAACAGAATAAATATAGGGGAGAGACAAGTTGGAAGAAAATGAATAGAAGTTCTGACTTTGTAAAATGTCTCTGTTTATTACTATAGCAGAGCTAGCCTTTATTTAGCTGAGTCTGAAATCAAAACTGTCTGAGATTCTCAAAGAGATCAATCAGTTTCTCAATTCTTCTTAGCTGGACTAGAAAACTGAAACAATGTAAAAAAAAATTTCAGGATGATATTCCTGAATGAACTAGCTGGAATACAGGATGACACAGATGCAATTCGTCATGCTAGATCGTGGCCGCAACGACCCACACACTTTTCTCTAGTAATTAGCTGAGCCTCTTTAATCTCAAGCAGTTTTAGTAAAGCACTCTAATAATGTTCTCCTCCAAAGTACAAATGCATGTCTAATTATTATCAGATGTTTTTGGGCCACAAAATTTCATGTCCTTAGGCTCATTCTGCGGAAACTTGAGCGACCCTTTTCATGAAGTGCCATAGCCAGCTTTTTTCTGCTGGCGCAGGCTGTGTTTTCTTATGGATGGAGAAGTCAGGTTCTTTTTTGTACTGGTGGTTACAGATATAACCCATGTTCCATATCCACAGCTCATTCAATGGATCTTTCTTTCTGCATGAGCAAAGGCTTACCGTTGTACATTTAAACTGCTGGCCTGTGTTTTCTTACCACCCCTAGTTTGTGGTCAGGTGGGCAAGACAAACCAAAAATGGATCTAGTGTGCCATGTGTTTAGAGCGTCTGTGAGGCTGTCATTTCGATGGTGCCATCCTTCCTGTATAAAATGGCAGTGTCCAACCTCCAGACCAGGGCACCCTATACTTTGAAACCACAAGAACCACAGGCTGAATTGCTCTTTTGTGGAGCACAAGGTCAGCAATTGACTCTGGGCTCCATTTGTTTTATTTCAGGTTTTCATTGCAGAGGTTTTCAAGTCCATATATTTTGTTTTAAAAAGCAGCTCTGACATATTAAACCGTTTATTTGACTGCTTCTCTTTCAAATGGGAAGAGTACAGCAAATAAATCCTTGATAAGACAGTCTCATTGCCTCTTGCTGTGTTAATAATTTCATACAAATGTACAGCAATGTTTACTGTACTCTGGGCTGGCTGCCCATCCCAGCCCGCTCTGGTGAAAATGAAATTCCTTCTATATTTATGAACTGCCTTCTCTAATCAATATTTGCATAGGACAAGTGAATATGTCTAAGTCTTGTGGATTTCACCTAACCCAGTGAAATGCCCTCTTCCCCGCCTGCTAGTAATCCTTTCCTCCCGTCTGTCTCTGTGCCAGCAGCTGCTATTGCTGTGATCATCATGGGTTTTAGAAGGCATTCATGTCCCTGCTCTCAGATTGCATCTCTCCTACATAAGCATCTAAAAGAGCTTGTGTGAAAATATACTATAACTATCCAGTCACCCAGGAATGTCAGGGCACCTTAACAGTACAGCCTGGATGGAAAAACATGTCAACTGTATGTTGTTACTTGAGCTCTCATCCCATCATGAATGCCCACTGAGAGAGAGAGATAAAGCAATAGACAGAGACAGAGATATTCTTCATATGAAGGGATACGAATCTTAACGTGTATACAAAAATGTATTATATTTTAGCTTATCAATCCTCTGATGTGGTTACCGCATTACATTTCTTTTTTTCAGGTTTGTTGTCCTTTATTTTGACCTGGTGACCCTGCCAATAATAGGCTTATTTTTCTCGATTAACAAATATCACTATGATATGTATGAAAGAACGGCTTTATCACCTTAGGCTTCTCTCCTGATTTTGGCTATAAACACCTCCTCAATCAAATAGGGCAGAGGTATTTAGTAGTTCACAGAAGCCAGCAGGGAAAGCTGATAACATTGTTTTAAACATCAGTCCAATGCACAGGACATTACATGCGCACTGGATTTCTGGCAAGATCAACAGGTCAAATTCTGCAAAACTAGTGCAGCCACCACATCTAAGGATCAGTAAGCTGCAATATGTGACATGTTTGGTCTTGGGTTTAGATATCCTTTAATTTCTATGTGTGGATATTTCCCCTCAATACTAACCAGCCAAAAAAACTGTAGGTGAGCTATATTATCAGTCATCAGGAGAATAAAGGAGAGAATGTGGGCAGGGACACAAAATTTTTTCAGGTTATCATGTCTTAGACTGCAGACTATAAACTCTTTTGATGCCAGTAAAGTAGGCAAAAGTGCTGATTCATTGGGGTTGATTTAATAAAGGCAATTAGGAGGCTCATTTTGCAAGGAGATTTCCCTCAGCTTAGTGAATGTGGTGAAAATTACTTTGCAAACAATACCCAATCACGTGCAAGAAAAATAAAAAAAAACCAGTATCTTTGCTTGCACACGATTGGATGATGAAAGTTAGCAGAGCTTCACCTCATTAAAGGAAAATTCCCTTTCAAAGTGAACAGCCAATTTGCCTTTAGTAAACCAACCCCATTGTATCTGCAATATAAAATATTCCTCTAGCCAAAACAACATCTTGCTTTTTCAAGTAGACCAGAGTTCTGTTTTAATTCAGCGCTTCACAGGTTAAGACAGCTCTGCGGTAAACAGAATGAATAAAGAACAGAAAAGGCCCACAGCACACATTTACATATATATGTCATCCCACTCTAGTAAAATAATCAATCACTCAATGTTTTAATATGCATGTAAACATGCATCATATTATACGTTACATCAAAAACAAAAGAGAGAAAAGCTCATGCAAAGTTATTTCTCTTAAATGACTGGCAAGGCATGTGAATTTCTTCAGGGTTTGGATATTAAATTTAGCTCTACTTTACAAGCATAGAAATGAACACAGACTACTTAAGAAAAAGCAAAGCTTATGACTGCTTTAGTATCACCCCAGCACACCAGCGTGATTGTGCCCTAGTAACGAGATTCCATGCATTCATATTCCCTGCCATTTCATATTAGGATTACTGGTTTAGATATTTACAGGTTACATTCTAGTGCAAGTAGAACAACTTGTATACCAAAGCTGAATATTGGCTGTCTTTGGTTGACAAAGACATCTTCTTCTATCCGAATGGTTCTACTGTTAAAATTACAGACCTGCATCCACAAAAATAAGGTGCTTTATAGTCTAAAGTTGGCCATAAATGAGCCAGTATTCCCAATTCATGTGAATGATCTGAGAATCATTTGCTATTTTTGGGCAATATTAGGGGGGGAAAAACAAGACATTTTAGGGATCCTCACACAGCTTGTGTGCCAATGGCTGAGCTGGAGTGTCTTGTCATTTTAGGTGACATTATAAAAGTACCCATAGATATAAGATAATGAACTTCCAAACCAGACAATTGTGGCTACATTGTAAGTTTATTGTATGTCTACCTAATTTACATTTTAAAAGTCCCCCTAGATATAAGATAATGGACCTCCAATTCAGACAATTGTGACTACATCAGCCCACTGCATGTCTATTTTGGATGACATTTTAAAAGTACCCACAAATAAAAGTTAAGGAAAATATAAGATAAGGAGCCTCCAATCCAAACAATTCTAAGATTGGAAGTTTATTGCATTTCTAAGAAGAACCAATTGGATGGGCTTTATTTGCTGTCTGTTTCTGTTTTCTGAAAATTAAGCTGGTGCTAGGGGTGTCTGCAGAGTGCTTAAAAGCCCACTTGATATGAGCAAGCAGGTTTACACTATTGTCCCTAAAACATTTATCTGGTTGGGTTAGTTTGGCAGCTTATATAAGCTGCCTTACTCACTTCTTTTGGATATGCTGTACCAAGATCCTTCTGTAGCAGCGCCCCTTCTGTCTGTAGCCAATTTAGTTCTTTTCCATCCCAAACAAGGTAAATATGACCCCCTCTACTTCATTCTTCTCAGGAGTAAATTAAAATGACAACTTTGTAACACATTTTGGAATTTCTCCCTAAAGGGTCATCAAACAATACATGTGTAAGATAGCTCTGATGCAAGTAGCCATGTTTGGCTCACATGCTTCATGCTATTTCTTATCAGTGAACCTAAACTGGTTCAGTGCATCACTGTCCTGGGCCTCGTATGTGGAAAAAATGATGTTTTTTTTGTGATGCAGTGTTTTAACCTGATAGTGGAACATGTCTTGCTTCAGTCTTGCCTGGAAATGCTTTTAATGGATGCAGCCTATAACCTACAATTAAAGTGCCAGGATCATTCCATTAAAAAAGAGCCACACGGTCTTTGACTTTAAGTCAAGCTTTTCAATTTCATTTTGAAATTTTTGATATTTTTGGGCCTTTTAGTTTACTTCTTTATCTAAGTTGAAAAAGAGGAAAAGTAGGTGATACTTTAGTTCCGAAAGTTCTCTTGCACATGCCCTACAGCTTTGTGGCATAGGGAGCATTTTATGTATTAGGTTGGTTTAGGATGATATTTTTGGGAGGATCATACCATTGAATGAATTCTGAATGAGAAATCAGCACTGCAAGGGTTAAGGGGGTGTTACGTCAGCAGTAGTCAGCAGACCAGCCATGTAACCTCGGGTACTTACAGGTATTTTATGGCTCTTGATCATAATATCAAACTCTTCATTAATTTGTTTATATTTTTCTTCAGTGCGTGGGGTGAGGGCATAAGAAGAGTCGGGATCAGGGCTGTCACAGCCTTTGTGTTCTTTCTTGTTCAATGCCTGCCAGGTTTAGAGAAATATCACAAATACATCAAAAACGTGAACGGACGCTCAGAGTACTTACACACAATCTTTGCCTGCTGATCATTAGATCAATATCTTCATTTATCTTTCTGTACTTGTCCTCAGACTCTGGGCTGTGACCTACTGAATCGTCTGCATCAGGATCTGGACTGTCACAACCATTAAGTCCTTTCTTTCTCAACGTCTGAAACACATAAGTTGGACAACTTAGTCCACAGCAATGTAGGAAGCCGAGGTCCGGGGGAATCTATGATTTATTTTTAACAGAGCTTACCTAGAGAAAAGTACACAAGATATATATATAGGACTAGGTATAAAAAAAAAGAAAACTTGGTCAGAAGATTGATGATAACCATTGCAAAAGCTTACAAATTTTTTTTACATCTCACTCGACATAGTTTGCATGAATTTACTGATACCACTCACAGGAAAATTTATCTAAATCTCATTTCCCCAATTTCAACAGGATCAGGAGAAGAAAGTTTTTGAAAGACAGAGCGGGATTTAAGTGACATTTGTTGTGTTTTCACTATAAGCCCAGATCTAAATCACTCTGTACACAGTATTTAAGTGTGATTTGTTTTTGTCATTGAAATATTAATCGCTTGTTGTTCAATCACTGCTGGCTCGCATATGACTCCATACACACATTTTAAAAATGAAAACTTGGAACATGTATCTGATGACCACTAAATGATCTTTGGTAGTTGAAGCAAAACATGTGTATTGAGCCATTGGGGTTGATTTACTAACCTTATAAACACACCACAAACATGTATACACCTCTGTAGTGTGTTCCCTCCCAGCATGATCTATGGGAGGAATCTAAACACCTGTGTGTGTTGTGCAAAGCCTTGCATGAATTCCAAGGTGATGTTGTGTAAGTTAGCTCTATGTTATGTTGCTTGCGTTGATGAATGCAGGAATGTAAATGCATGAGCTAACCATTTTTGTCTAAACTGTGAAGCAGCATTATATATGGATCATGTGCATGATTTTTCCATATATGGCATTAGTGGAAATATGCTTTTAGAGACTTTTTGGTTGATAAATACGTTTTGCTGTGTGAAAATCACACGCACCTGGTGTGTGCGTGTGTTTAGGTTAGTAAATCACCCCCATTCTGTCCAACTATTGGGGGCTGTACTTTGTTGTAAAATTGTAATTCACTGTACTATCCATCCATTGTAGACCACCCACCTTGGGAGAGCATCTAAGGTAAGAGCCAGCACTGTCATTAGGTCATGTGAGGACACAGTAAAAAAGTAACACGGACAAAAAGAAAATCTGCCATAGTATATGGTGATAACCTGTGTAGGCTAGGTATATTTTGTTTTATTCACTGGAATGTTACATATATTTTCTAAACCTGTAATGTTGGCATCAACATATCAAAGTCTGAGACAGTAAATATTACATGGAATGCATTATATATGCAACAATACAACATTTTTATGCAAGAGCAGAAAAACAGCTACACCATAACAATTATTGCAAAATTTATCAGACAACCTACCCTACTTGAGGCGTTATTGGTCAAACCACTTCATTAGCGTCTAATACTACTTTGGGTTGCATGTGTTGCTGGAAAAGGATCTGCATCTGTATTACTCTAGTTGTTTTTTAAACAGACAACCTACCCTACTTATCAGACAACCTACCCTACTTGAGGCGTTATTGGTCAAACCACTTCATTAGCGTCTAATACTACTTTGGGTTGCATGTGTTGCTGGAAAAGGATCTGCATCTGTATTACTCTAGTTGTTTTTTAAACATTTTCACTGCATGGCCTATTGAAGAATGTAATATTTGTGAATGGACCTGCAGTCTCAAAGGTGCTTGGGTGCTGAAAGTGACATTAATCTAAAAGCCGTTCAAGAGAAAGCACAGAAAATGCTTTAAAAAATCTTTTTTTAAGTACAGAGACATTTAGCTCAACCTTTATCTTCAGTTTAAAGCACTTGAATAAGAAAACCAACATAAAAGAAAACCAGCTTTCCATGGAAACCAAATTAGGTACTGAATCGAATAAACTTGTTGTAGACCTGCACTATAACCAATATACAATCAATGCAGCAAATATAAATTTCCTGTTTTTTGGAGAGGAATAAAAAACAAATTTTTGGTTTCATTACTTTTTATGAGTTTTGCAGAAAAACCCCCCAAAAATAGAAGTACAAAATATATACATTTTTATGTTCTAAGTATTTGACACATGTTAAGACATGGCATGGACTTCGCTGGCTATCTCTCTCCCCCCGGTTCCCTCTCTGCAGAGATGGAGACCCTCTCTTCAGTATGGAGAGCAGGGAGCAGGGAGCAGAGCGGAGAATGTGCGTTCTCCACTCTGCTCCCTGTGAACACTGAGACTGGAGAGCTGCACTCACAGCCTTCCCATCTCAGCTGTCACAGGAGAGCCAGCACAGTGTTGTGTTACTCCTGCATTGGAGGTGACAGGTTCAGTAAAGAGAACTTGTCACCTCCAAATGCTAATCACACAGGTGATTTTTAGCTCCTGTGTGATAACAATAAAGTTAAGTGAAAAAAAATAAAAAATAAAATAAAGATTAAAACAAATTATAAAAAAGTAATAAAATAAATACAATTTTAAAAAAAATTCCAAAAATAATAAGAAATAATAATTAAAACAAAAAAGTGATAAAAAAATTACAAGATAAAAAATTATAAAAAAGTAAAAGATAATAAGATAAACAAAATGTAAAAAAGTTAAAAAATAAAAAGAAATGAAAAAAAAGTTAAAAAAATAAAGAAAAACTAAAACCAACCCTGCCACCCCCACCATCTGGTTGCCATTTGCCATGGGGGGGTTGGCGGATTTAGGAACCTGGCCTTGGGGCAGCAGAGAGAGTAAATCCGGCCCTGGATACAGATTAGGTTTTTAATGTTATTTTTATTTTTTTATATTTAAACGTTGTTCACAAAAGATTTCTTTTTGTACAAGATGCACAGTTCACTGAGTATGAAATGCCAATATTGCATAATATGAAATAAGTCTATAAATCAATAAATAAATATGATATAACAAATATATAAATAAATAGTCAGAACATGATGGAACATAATCTTATACTGTACACTGCAGATTCATTAGGATAATGCGTCTAGAGACTGACAGGTCATATACGGGTAAAATAAACATCTGTGGGGACAATAACACGTACAGCAGCTTGTACAAATACGTGGCCTTCTCTGTGTTATCTTGAAATACATAAGCAGCCAGGTCTGATGGCTCAGAAGTATGTTCAGTATAAAACATAAATCCGATTCATCTGAAACCAGAAAACGGTATTAAACAAAATGTTTTTAAAAAGATTTAACTTCATTTTAATCAGGAATTGGATAGATGTGGTGTCACAGATTATACATTATGGGATCATTTACTAAATGAAACCTTCACTAGAAACAAAAAGCCAATTATTTAAGGAAAACTTCAAATAGATGTTTTCTTTGAATTTGATTATCTGTTTTAAAGCTGATCTCCAGGCACAAAATCTTTCATTTAAATATATTCTTTAATAGCCTCAAAGCATATAAAGATGCCGTTTGGCTGGTATTTTGCCTTTGCAAACCCAAATATTGCTCTGTAACTTAGCAGTGACATCATCAGTGTCCTGCACATATCCTGTACAGATAGCAGAGCTATGGGAGGGACTCAGCAGGCTCAAACCACTACAGTCTGCCTGCAGAAAACTACAGGAGGGGGCGGAGACAAGACCAAGCAAAGCCAGAGTGCAGCAGTGACTGGTCTTTAGTACAGGAAGCTCCAAGTGTCACACTGGATAACTGCTCCAAGTGTCACACTGGAAATACGCAAAGCACACCAAGATTCAAAGAAGAACACACAAGACTCTTGTATTTAGAAGATATTTGTTTATCCCAAAGCTGTAATATGTTCAACTATTTCCTATTATAGGTACCGTGCCTTTCCTTCGGAATACTGAATAATGTGCACATTTGTGTGTTTAATGTATGTCCTGTACTAACAGTGACTTTGATAAGATTCCATGGACATAAGCTGAGAAGCTGCCACCTGTTTACATGCAGCAATGTATACTTATGTGTCTCAGCCAGACACATTGTACACAGCAGCAATGTCAGGTAACACTTGGCACTCAGCTGGCAGTGCTACAATGCATTAACTATTTATTGCCTGGACACAATGGGTAACAGCGTGATACTGTAGTAGGGTATTAAAAGACATACACCACGTAAATATGTCATTTTAGCTGTGGGTGAAGGTAACATTAGCTGAAGATATGTGAAGTGATGATTGCATCCACAGCTTGTTATGTTTAGTACTGTGCAGTAATCCAATGTGAAACATATAGGAGCTTTCTGTAATAAAGACCAGTCAGCGCTGCTCTTTCTTTTTGGCCGGGATGACTGGTCTTGTGTCCGCCCCCTCCTGTAGTTTTCTGCAGCCTGTAATAGGTGCCCCTCGCACAGCTCTTTTCTCTGCACAGGCTGTGTGCAGCATAGTGACGATGTCACTAACTACAAGTTAATAGTTGGGTTTTCAAAGGTGTATGGTGCACACAAAGTGGATTTATATCCTCTGTGTGTATTGAGGAATATATTATATTTAGATCGTTTGTGCCCAGAGCTTAGCTTTAAGTGTTTCATTTAGTCATGACGGATTTTCAAGAAACTTTATAGAATGCAGTGCACACTGTTATAGGCACACTCCAGTCAAAACTGAAAGCTAAAGATTAAGATGCGCACAGTGAGCTCAGCCTGATCTAGGTGTCACTGAGATGTCACTGAGATGTACCATTTCCATCCACTCCCTGTTTTCAGAGACCTCCTCCTGGCCATGCAGGGGAGCTATTCCAACGCAGATCTAGTACAGGGTCTTGGCTGCCTCTCACATACAAAAAACCTGTAAAGAATCTAAGTACTAAAAAGTTTTCCTGTAGTCACTGAACCGATTAAAAACTGCTTTAAAAGTTTGCATTGGGTTAGCAGACTTCTCAACTCTCCCAGACGTTGCGGGAGTCTCCCGCTATAAGAGAGCGGCTCCCAGACACCCGGGAGAAAAACACTTTATCCCGGAAAGGTTTACTCTGCGTAAACCTTTCCCTGCTGTTTTTTATTTTATTCTGACATCGGGGCTGCTGACTGCTGTCAGAGGAAAAATAAAGAAGAAAAAAAGACAGCATGGAA